TATACATAACTAACCATAATATACATTTAGATATCTTTCAAAGAATAATTTTACAACAAGATAAAAGAACAAAATAACTTTTTTTTACCTTACAAGTTATTAAAAAGAAAGTGAAAGCCTATTATAAAGTTTTGTAAATCTTGAACTTTTGCAAAGCTAAACAACTTTCCATTCTAATGATCATTTATTAGAAACAAAGTAATTTCTAATTTCCATTATGGCTGTAGAGAACTCTTGACTTTTGCAAAGCTAAACAACTTTCCATTCTAATGATCATTTATTAGAAACAAAGTAATTTCTAATTTCCATTATGGCTGTAGAGAACTCTTGACTGAATATGATTATTACACTGGAAAATACAATAAGTGAATTTGAATATAATATGTTTAATTAATGATTAGGTTTTAGTTTTGCTTATGCCATTCTGTGATGTTTAAAAAAATAAAACTGAAATAGTCTGCAGTGGCCTATTGAATAACTTTTAATTAAGTTCACATATATATTTGTAAGTCAATATCAGTGTACAAATTAATAAAACTAACCTATTTCTTAGATATTAACCACAACTTTAACTTTACTGAATTTTTGTTATCACTAAGTTGGCTTATAGTTATAATCAAAATAAACTTATTAAAATCCTCTTAAGTTTTTGTTATTACCTGTTTCAAACACTTATTAAGTAACTAACAATAAGTACTATAAGCCTGACAAGAAATCAGCCATTTGCTGATCATTTCATTAGCCACCTTGAAATTGCTGTTTCTGATCATAAGAAACATTAGCTAAAAAAAATCACAATTAAAAATAGCATTAAACAAATTTAAGATGGTCATTATTCAAGTAGTTTAATCTCTAAGAAGTTGAAAAATATAACAGGTCAAATCCACATCATATCCTTCAATTATGCCCAATATTTTTTACGTTAGTGCTTTTCAGGCAATACCATCTTTGAAACTTATTACAGCACTGATTAAAAATTGTACAAGATACATTTATATATGTGTTTTTGTTATAGCAAAGCCACATCGGGCCAGCTGGTTTGTCCACTGATGGGAATCAAACTCCCGATTTTAGCATTGTAAGTCCACAGACTTACTGCTGTCCCACCGAGGGACTGCATTTGTATAACACTTACTGACTACTGCTACAGAAAAGTATCTTGAACATTTTATGAAGCTTTATCTACTACATGCTTTAGAGCCTCACTAATCATCTACAAAAAGCATCAACAAATTTTAATAATGCTAACAGTAATTGACAGTGATATGAAATAGTAGTTTTAAGGTTAAAACAATCTCATTTACTGGGAAACATCAAAATATCTAACATATTTAGGGGTATGAAACTATAGCAGGCAGAGGTTCAATACTTGTATGTTTCCGAATTCCAGTACGTTCTAGCTCCCATAGTATTTGACTAGGACTTTAATATTATATGACTATGTGTATGATTATGATCTCCCTCAAAAGTCAAAGCCGGGAAGTTGGATGGACCACGCAATTTGAGCTAATACAAAAAAAAAAAAGAAATGTAAAACCAACAAAGTTAAAAAAATCCTTCTGATGAAGAAATCTTTAGTTTAATAGTAATAGTAACTCGCCAGTATTTAGCGGTGCCCTTTACTTAGTCCGATTCTTACGAATTTTCTTCAGACCTTGAAACTCACTAAGTAAGAGTGTAAACACTGTATTTAAAAGTAATTAGTCTTACTCTTAGTCTTACCATTCGAAGGCCAATCTTCCTCGTTTTTTAAAAAAACTATCCCAGTACACTTTGGATGCAAATTCGGTGTGCGATTTCGGAAGCAAATTCATAACGTGCAGTAAGTATGTTTCACCTAAAATAATCAATTACTTAAAAAAAATAATCACTAACAAATATGAACCACGTTGTTAAAATTAATTTTCTGCTCAGTTAAAGAAACTGCGAAAAGATCACAATGATGCCTTACATAAAGCGACCTCTATAACACAAACTTTATCATTGTCTGGTTTGTTGTTGTTATTATTGCAGTTATGGTTTATTTGTTTGTTTGTAATTAAGCACAAAGTTATACAATGGGCTATCTGTGTTCTGCCACCACGGGTATCGTAACCCGGTTTCTAGCGTTCTAAGTCCGCAGACGAGGGAGGTTTATGCAGTTATGGACAAAAATGAATATATAAAACAGACACAGAGAAATAGATCACCCAAATATTAAGCTTTGAAAACACATTTCTGATTGTTAAAGACAGTTAATATTCGAGATGTTAACAACGTTTTTTTTTAATTGTGGTCCTTAAATTCAAAATGTTGAATAACGCACCTTTCTAAACTCTACGAGTAAACTTGTTGATCCAAAAGCTACAGTCGTCGTATTTGAAATAACTGCTAGTTTCACCTTTCTGTAACTAGTATAAAATATCGTTACGACAGCGGAAATCACGCAACGCTGGGAGCATGCGCGCTAGAGTTTCTCAAAGGATCATGAATTTTCCTGGCAACTCTAGTTTGTTCCAGTTG